GGACCACATCCATCTCGGGAGTCTCTGGTTGGGGAGAGGGGGACAGAGAGCTCCAAGTTCCTCCTAGCAAAACAAGAAATAGGAGCTCTGGGCCCTGACATCCCTCTCCTTCCCCCAAGCACCTCCTGCATTGCTTCTCCTGTGGCCTGAAAGCCTCCGACACTGTCCTCTCCCCCAGGAACGACCCCTAGCAGTCAGCAGTCGCCCCACAAGCTTTCCCCGGGGGCACACGCTGGGAGTGAGACGAGGGGCAAAACCCCTGCGCAGGGCGGGGAAGGGCGTGCAGGGTGGGTCTGTGCCCAGTCTGAAGCCGAGGCTCCGTCTTTCAGAGTCCCGCCGCCGGACCATCTACGAATATCACCGCGTGGAGCTGGACACCAGCAAGATCACCAACATGTCAGCCGTGGAGTTCACCCCGCTGCCCAGTAAGTGGGACAGGCTGGCCTGGTGCCCCAGAGCGGGTTTCCCTCCCGTGGTTTCACCCAGCAACTACAACAACCTCCTGTTTACAGCCAAAGGGGGAAGCCAGGGCTGGAGGAGGCAGGTTCAGCGGGTGCTGGGTGTGCAGCTGCCACCCATCACCCGGTGGTTGGGATCCTGTGCACTGGAGCAGTGGAGGGTGGGGGGGGTGCTATCAGCCCTGCTCTGGGGTCCCCCAGCCACTGTGAGGAGGCCTGTGCGTGGCTGTCGCTGAACACACAGCCCTGGTGGGATTTCCCAGCTCAGAGACCACCTCGGCCAACAGCAAATCCCAGGCGTGTGCCAGGCTGGCTGTGCCACAGCGGGGACGGGAGCCTGGGATGCAGCAAAGCTCAGCTGGCACGGGGGGAGCTGATAAAGGAGGGATCTGTGGGCAGTTACACCTTACCCGATCTGCTCAACTGAGTGACCTGAGCGGCAGGGCCAGCCACGACATCCCTGGGAGCGATGGGCCACGACGTCCCTGGGAGCGATGGGCCACGGTCCCAAGCTGTGCTCCACGCTGCCCTGCCACCACTCTCCCTCGCGGACAGCTGAGTCGATGGCTCTTGTTGCTCACCAGTAGATCCCCTCTCGCCCCAGTTCTTTAATTCCTTATTTCCTTCACCGACAGCTCTTCCCACCTCTCCCATCGCTGAAACTCCTTCTCTTTGCTCCATAAGCTGCAGCTAATTTTGCTGGACACTGGTTCACTTCAGGTCTGTCTATAAGACATTTTCTACGCCTCCACACTCAGATGAAATTTCTTAAGGATCCTGTTAAATAGATACATTTTTAGTGTTTGGATCCAAGGACACATGCGCACGAGGGAAAGTCGTCATGCAGTCCATAAATACAGAGCGGAGAGTAAATCTGTCATGCAGATACCAAGGTTATGCATTTAAACGGTCTCCCCAGGGTATTTTATGACAATTTTAACAGCAGGCAGGGTTACTGCAAAGCAGATCATAAATAAGCATTCTGCAATAATTCTATTTTTTTCTCCTTAAGACTTTCTATTTTGTATCTCCCCAGCATTTAAGATAGCTAAGAGCAGTATCTTCAGAGGAGCCACGGAGGTAGAGAGGACTAGCCTCCACTTTTTCTTCTGGGGGTTTAATTTTTAGCCTTTTTCAGGTCAGAAGTGGATGAACTGCGTTAGCCTTGGCCTCTTCTCCAGAGGTCCCTGCTTGCTGGCTGCCTCCACGTCTGCTCGGGAGAAGTTCAGGGTGGGAGAGCGGAGGAGATCAGGACTGGAGGCCACCAGAAGAGTGTGGGCAGCCCAGGTCCAGGGCAGCTGCAGCGGGGAGTTTGGGGATCAGAGAGCCCGCGGATGGAGAAGCGATGGAGTGTGTGGGTCAGGACGGAGGAGTGCCGGGTGTCCCTGCTGGGATGAGGACGCTGCTGCCTCTCGGGGTCCTGTGCACCGGGGCAGGACGGGAACCCCTCGTGCTCTGTCTTCGTCAGCACAGCATCAGCTTTCGGCTCGGTCACCGCGGCTGGCAGGGACTCCCCAGGGGCTTGTTAAAACTGCCCGTTTCCTTGACTTTTTTTTTTTTTTTTCAGACAAGCCCTCTTGGCCATCTTTTCTAGACAGGGTGACAAGCAAATGATGGTGCTTTACAAGCAGCTAGTCCTCTCCAACGTGGAGATATTTTTGCAGAACTACTTAGTATGGACATAGCAACAGAGGGTTAAACTGTTTGTATTGCTTCGTTCCTTCTGAGAAACACCCTCCGTACAAAGAGAAATGGCATAAATCTCAGATGTGTTTTAATTCCCAGCCAGACAGAATGGGAAGACAGACGTTTACAGATGGACTGTGAGTCCAACCCTGCTAGAAAGGTGCTGCCTGGTGCTGCAGGTCCGTTGCAGAGAGAGGTCGGGTTAGAGACTCATCTGCTGATGCTCCGGTTCTACCCGGGCCACCAGCTTTCAGCAGATGCTCCCGTGTGCCCATGCAGATGCTGGCGCCTCGCTGGTACGTCTCTCCTCTCTCTTTTACAGCTTGTCTCCAGCATCAGAGCTGTGAAATGTGTGTGACCTCGGAGCTGACCTTCAACTGCAGCTGGTGTCATGTCCTGCAGAGGTAGCTGGGATGAGTTTCCTTCCCACCTCTTCTCTTGCTAATGTTTCTGTAGCTGGGAGAGCAAGTGCAACTCCAGGTCTGATGCCTGTATCAGTGGTGCTGGTTTTTTATTATTTTCTTTTTTTTTAAATTGTTTTTTTGTTGTTGTTGTTGCGTTTTGGTTTAGTTAGGGTGCTGCTCTCGGTCTCGTAGCCACGGTTAAGCAGTGATCTGATCTCCAGTTACAAGCCGTTGAAAGGAGACATTTCCCGAGGCTTGGGTTTTTGGTCTTGATGTTTCCATGCAGCAGCTGGAACAAGTTGAGACCAGAAGCAAGACTTACATTCTTGTCAGTGAGCTTAAACATGGGGGAAACTTGTCCTGACTTAGGCTGTGATTGCAGACAGAAGTGCAGGGCAGGGAGGCTGGGACAGGCTCAGGTCTGAAGGACGGCCGGGGATGCTCATCAGCCCCTCAGCTGAAGGGGACAGACCCTCTTTGTGGGGGATAAGACACAACAAGGTGCTTTTGTGGGGGTAAACGGAGGATCTGGGGGACGGGGCTGGCCCCGCTGCAGTCCCAGCCATGCAGCAGTCCTGCTCCATGCTCTCCTTCAGCTCGAGCAGCGTGATACGGAGCGTGAGAGAGTCTAATGAGATTTTGCTGAAGTATTTATTTAGAGCTAGTGGCAGGGGAGAGGACCCAATAACACAGATCCTCACAGGCGGCACGGGGACCGCCGTGCTCGGGAAATGCCCGGCTCTCCCAGGAAAGCACACGGGCTGGCCCCTTCCCCAGCTGCCTCCTGCAAGAGCTCGCCCCAGCATCACTCGCAGGGCACCTTCATTCCTCCTTTCCGTAGCCTTTCCCTCGTTACGCTCAAGACTTGCACCCTTTCCTCTCGCGCAGCAATTTCAGCGAGGTATGAGCAGAGCAGCCGGGATGAGGAAAGCTCCTGAGCCATCAGCAAAGCGACCCTATAAATCAGCGTTGATTCACTGCCTTTCGGTGGGCTGGAGAACAACCCGAGCCAGGGGAACATCATTTTTCAATGACAGTTGCTCAGCGGTGGCTTCAGATCAGAGAATATTATGTTCTCGCAGCTGAGAGATGCGTGAAACCAGATGTGGCTTTGGTAGCAAAACCAAGGCTGAGATACAGTGGCTTAGTCTGGATCTCGTTTTGGGCTGAAACTCCAGGGTTCGAGGACTTCATCATTCTGCCTATTCCAAATCCACGGTGTTTGCAAACCCCATCATGCAAAATCCAAGTCGTTGTGGCTGATGTTTGCTTTTATCACTCAGAGTAGGGTGACTTCTTGATGCGTTGGCTAGAAGCCACGCTTCCCGCGGCGGCGGCTCAGTCCCCGAGAGCTGAGGTTACAAATGGAAAGTACAAATGGCAAGCGTGGCGGAAACGGCAGGCTAGAGCAAGCCTATGGCTATCTTGTTGGCTTTCAACCAGGTTGGTTTTGCAAAGCTAACATCATCTTTTCCAAGGAAGCTGGTAGGGTGGCTTCCAGGGTTTGAACGTATATCCTGAGTCCAGCTCAGTGATTTAACCCCAGAATCCTCTCGGCTCTCTTCTGGATGGTGGAGTTTGTATTTTTGCTTTTGCTGAGCCCGTAATCGTTACAGGAACTGTACTTGCAGCAAAGATCTCAGTGACTCAGCAGGACCTGAAGTTCTTTGTGGCTTCTCCTCTTTTACTGGTTGGTAGTTGGGTAAATTAGTATGAGCTGAACCCCTGATTCATATTTTAGTATCTCCAGAGACTTCCCAAAGGTCAGAGTGCTATTTCATTCCCTCTGTTTCTGTAGAGATTTCTCTAGCTGGTGTTTTCCTGATGCAGTTTATAATTTCTTTAATGTGTTTTTCCTGTGCAGATGTTGCTGGAAAAATAAAAAAAACACCTCGTGAAGATCATGGCCTTGTCCCTGGCACAGAGTCTGGGGAATGGAAATTCAAACTCAGTCTATATATTTTTCCTATTTCTCTGCTTCTCCGTTTCTCTTGGAGAAGCCTTGTTGACCCTTTTCCTTCTCTGTGAAGAGGAACATTTGGGTCCTTCCAGCACAGCTGTACTGGAAACCCCATGTCTTTGGAGACCAACTTGTATATAATCTTTCCAGTCCTCAGATAATTTGTTTGTCCAAGTGTACACAGCGCCCACTGGGGCAGTGTTTGGGACTCTCGAGCAGCTCAGAAACCGCTAGTGATGCCCCCCCACCCCTCCGCCCCTTGAGTGAGCATTATTATTGCTGTGTCTTTGGGGAATTCTCATGCCACAGGTTAATCCTGCTTTTCCCCGCAGATGTTCCAGTGGCTTTGACCGGTACCGTGAGGAGTGGCTGTCCTACGGCTGTGGCCAGAAGGTGAGGCTGAGAAGAATCACATCTCATATGTCCTCTGCTAGGAATGATGCTGATCTGCAGAAAAAAACAGTGGCCATATCCCAGCTCAAAACATTCACGCTCGGCTCCTCTTGACCCGTGTTGTTCTGGAACAGGCCGGGTGTCCCTTTGGATGTCCCCTTCCCGTTACAGCGGGACCTCTCAGAGGATGTCTGTACCAGAGTGGTTAAAACATGGTCCATCTAATCCAGCACTTGCCTTGCTGGTGTCTTGTTTCTGTGCTGGTCGGTGCTGGATATTCAGTAAAGGTGCAGAGACCTCCATAAATTACCAAATGGTGCAATCTGAGTATACTGGGATATTTTTTTCTTCACCTTCTGAAGCATGACTCTTACTGATTTTTTTTTTTTTTTTGTCCTTGTTAGCACAATTATCTCCACATTGGATGAACTAGTTTCTTTGTCTCAGACAAAGATCAACTCGTAACGAAACATCTGTTTCTGCTTTGGGGTGGTTTTTTGTTTTGTTTTGTTTTATTTTTTATCCCCATTAAAAACTCGGCTTTGTTCCCTGTTAACCAAGAGGGCTGAGTGAGGGAAAAGGAGGTCACAGGACCTCTGTAAGGTCATCCAGTGATGCAAGAAGGTCAGACTGTAGGACCTTGCCAGATCATTGTCGTTTGTCCTCCTACAGTGGTTCCCAAACATTTCCTCCTCTTCTCCAACCTCCAGGTCACCCCCCTGCCCCGTAATTGTGGCACTTCTGGACCATGTCCCCTGCTTCCACTCCGGTGTTGGAACCCCAAGGGCTCGGCAGCCCTAAGCCTGGGAAGCGCAGGCCTCACCACTGGCTCCCCGGCACTCCTGCTGGAGGAGAGCTGGGAAATGTAGCTGTTCTCCATTTTCCTTCCAGTCAGATGAGAAGACCTGCGAGGATTTAGCAGAAGGCGACCGCTATTCAGCACCTCCCGACAGCTCTTTCTCACCGCTGGATGAGGATGTCACCACCTCCACGTCCTCGCTCTTCATTGACAGCCTCACCACAGAAGGTAGGGGCAGGGGGGGCGAGCAGCTGTGGCAGAGACACCCCATCCTCGACGCTTATCCCTGGAGAGATCTTTCCCTCCGACGCCTCGTAAAGGCAACTCATATCCGAATAAATGCAACAAGAAACCCGTCGTTGAAGCGCAGGGCAGGGGTGGGAGCAGGAGGCAGTGGAAAGGAGAAGCAGGGCCAGCCTAGGAGGTGAGACTCGGAGTGATGTGGGAAGGGGAGAGATGAAACCCACTGGTGGGAAGAGTTTTACGGTCGCATCGCAGCCTCTTTACACATTTCTGAAGGTCAATGAGCAAGCAGTTCGAGGTGGACAGACACCCCAGCATCGTAACAGGTTCATATTCTTATGGAGGGGCTCAGGCTTTTAATGTGCTTGGCCCTCAGGGCTGCCAGCGCTCTCGATAATACAGCACAGGCTTGTGATTGCCCCCTGCTCGGGAGTGGTGTTCGTTCCAGCATAGGAAAGCTCCACACAAGGACCCGAGTTTCCCTCGAGACACCCATGTTCTAAAGCTTGATAAGCCTATTAAGACAGGGCTGGCTCCTCCGATCCTAGCGGCAGGTATCACTTCAATTTTGCTGCTTAATAGTCCCTAACGCAAACTGCTAATTAGAATAAATAGAAAGGAACATTAGTAATTGTCCTTCAGCAATGGGAAGGAGTTGGGGAGGGGGGGGAACGGAGCGCCTGGCTGACAGAGTTGACTTTGAAAGGAGCAATTAAAGGAGGGGGGAGTGTAACGCCACCACTGAGATTATTTTCCAACTCATCGCCAATTCTTGGAAAAAGAACAAGAGGCTTTCTGTGACATAGTCAAGCATGAAGTTAATTTGTAATCTTGGAAGGAAACAAACAGCCAGCTGCATCAGGCAGCGAACTTTATCTGGAGAAGCGCAGCAAAGGAACAAACAGAGCAAAGGAGTGGAGCCACCCCTCTGCATCCTCCCCAGCCGGCCCAGCTCGCTGGCTCTGCTGACGGAGACGTTTGGGAACGTCTCTGACTCGCTGGTTGTGTCAGAGCCGCAGGCACCCAACGCGTCGGCCAAGGAGGACGGACTCCTGGGGGAGGATTTCAGCTGGACTCGCCAGGGTGGTGGTGTGGAGAGCACCAGGACACAAAGCCCCGTACAATATATCCTGGTTCTTCCAGAATGAGATGAAGAATGGAACTGGATTCGGGGCCCCTGTGCCAGATGTCTACAGCACAACATCCCGTTGATTATTCGGGGGGGTTTCAGCAGCATATTGCTGCAAATGCCACAGTCTGAGCGCTCACGGGGGCTCAGGGCCCGTGCAGCATTCCGTTATTGTTCTGCTTTGCACACTGAACGTATTTAGGTTTCCTCAGATGTTTGTGCTCCAGGTGCCACCTTTGTGCAAGAAGACAATTAACTATAAGCCATGTGCTTCCACCAAACTTGGAGGTTTAAAACTGTCACTGGCCACATAAATGCTGTGCAGGAGGTGTGTCCTGTCGGTGGCCCCGTTACAGGGCGATGAAAGCGGGTGGGAAGCATACAGAATATCATAGAAGTCTCCTAACTTTTTTTTTTTTTTTTTTTTTTTTTTTTTGCCTTTGTTTTCTTCTTTTAGATGATACAAAGCTCAATCAGTATGCCGGAAGCGAAGGTAAGCCCTTAATCTTCTCTCTGCCTGCTCGGATTCGTTCCAAGTGAAAACACGTTACCCTGAAATCAAATGCACTAGGGAGTTGCGATCAGTCAGCGGGGTGGACAGGTGACAGAGATTGGAGGGATGTAATCAAGATAAGACTCCTGTTGTCCTCACCCTGATTAATACCATTTCAGATAGTGAAAAGTGAGAGTCGGGACTAATCTGTTTTACCCTGATGCTGTTTGTCTACTTTTCCCACTTAGTCCTGCTGCGCAAACTAAGATGATGAATTTTCTCTTTGCATGTAATTCCCTTTCTTTGCAGTTTTTTTTTTTTCCGTAGACACAAAGTCCTTTTTTCTTTTGAATTTCCCCAGCTGCGCCAAAGAGCACTGCAAAATCCAAATATAAAAAGTCTCCTTAGCCCAGCTCTGCCTTTTTCACCTCTGTTCCCCTGAGTCCCCTCTCAGGCCGAGTCTGTTGATCACCCCAAGAGCAGGAAGCCAAACTGCCCTTACTAATTGCAGAGTGTGGGGAGGATCCAAGCCAGCTTTGCCTGCAAGACCTGTGGTCGTACGCAAACCACGAGCCCATCCCTCTTACCTGCGAGCAGCTCGTGGAGGCTACGCCGGCTAAACTGGGTGCAGGAACTGTTCCTTTGCAGGCATACGGCCTTCGAAATGCACAATCTTCCCAGTTTCAGCCAAATTGCTGAAATTGCTCCCCAAATGGCCGGTAATGTCACTGTTAATATATGCCACACACCCCCTCTGCGGCTCCGTGCAATTGCATATTCATAGCCGAGCACTGAGGGCAAGCTGGAGGGCTGTGGGTAAGACACACTGAGGACCCTGCTCAGCATATGGCTAATGGCTTTCTATCGGAGCGAGCAGCCAATATATAAAGAATATGGATTGAGGAGGGGGTTTACTGCATGGTGGTGGTTTAATCTTCTTTTAAACCAGCTACCGCCATCATCTGAAAGGGATGCTGGAGCTCAGACAACTCTCTGCTGCATCTTCCCCTCTCGTTGAGCCAGACAGCAGCAGGCTGAGTTGCTGAGTCGTACGTGCAGAGCTTGTCCTTTCTTTCAGCGAGGTCTCAGCACGGTTCAAGACTCAGGTGAATTCTTTTTCGCAGGTGTGGGAAGCAGCCTGCCTTCCAAGAAAGCAGGTGCCCCGATTCACACAGGTACTATCGTGGGGATCGTTCTGGCTGTGTTGCTCATTGCAGCTATTATCCTCGCTGGGATTTACATCAACAGCCACCCCACCTCCAACGCTGCCCTGTTCTTCATTGAGGTGAGTGGACAACCTACCCCCGGCTGTTTTTTTCCTCCTGTGCCACCAACACAAATCCCAACCTTCTAGAGGAGAGCAGGGAGCAAAGAGAAAGGGAGGGAGGAACTTGGACAGAGTTCATATCGGAGTTTCTTTTCATGGTCCTACAGTCACAGCTAATCTTCGAACCTCCAGTTGATGATGTTTTAAACTTAGGCTCTCTCCCTCCCACACTGTTTTATTTTGCTCCCTTTCACACATTGCCTTTTTTTTCCCCCATGCAACGTTAGACTTTTCCACCTGCTTGCATGAGCAGTCGACGCGCAGCCTGGTTGGAGGGCTCAGTTGGAGCTATGACATAATTGAGATCGCTGCCTTTTGAATTGCCCAGCTGGATTTTGTTGACTAAAATTGTCAGACTTTACTGATAGATGTCATGCCATCAGCTACTGTGTAAGTGGTGGTGTGAATGCTCTAAATGGAAGATTTTAATTCTCGGAAAGATAGGGGGTCCGACAATCTCCATCTGCTGTTAAAAGCCAGAAGACCGCTTGGTGTAGGATCCCGAGGCAGTCAGAAGTGGGCTGAATCCTGGCATAGGAGCCGCTGCGGAGGGAGTGAGCAACACTTAGCCCTCAGCCTTTCCTTATCACTTGCTGACTTTTTTCCTGGAGCACTTGTCTTTCCTCCATCTGTCCTGTTTGCAGAGACAGGCTTCAGAGAATTGATCTAACACAGCCTCTACCAGCTTAGTACCTGAGCACTTGGCAATGTTCGATGCATTTCTCTGCCCCCGGCTGAGAAGGGGCGATGCAGTTGTCCCTGTTTTGCAGATGGAGGGGAGACACGGAGCTGACGTGTGTGTGGTCACACGGGAAGCCCACGGCCGGCCTTGGCCGTGCAGGGCACCCTCGTTCTGAGGCTGATGTGAGATTTCACTTCAAATTTCCATTTCCTCCCCACTCCCCGTTTTAACCTTATGAGCGGGTCAGCTCAGTGAGATCGATGCATTGTCATGAACTCTTTATTAATAAAAGATAAATTAAAATAAAAAAAATCACTTCCTGCTTAAAAAAGTCAAACTTCCACAAGGACAGCATTGTTTTTGTTTCAGGACTGAGTTTCCAATTTCCCCGCGGGCTTGGCGTGAAAGGCTCTGTCACAGCTTCTGATGGGTCTTTGTTTCTGTCCACAGCGAAGGCCACATCACTGGCCTGCCATGAAATTCCGAAATCACACCAACCACGCAACGTACTCGGAGGTGGAGCCGACCAGCCAGGAGAAGGAGGGCTTTGTCGAAGCGGAACAGTGCTGAGCGCTTCTCTCCCTGCGTCTCGAACCTCCCATGTCTCAAGTGTTGGAGTCTTCTGTTATTCTATTGCAAAGTCTTTCCCCTCTTGGAAAAGAAACGGCAAGTAGAGGAAAAAGACCCAATGGAGCATTTGGAAAGAAAGAGTCAGGGTGATGTGAGGCTGGATTTGCCTGGATTCCCCACGGGACAGCCGAGCCTGCAGCCCAGCACCGAAGCCCTGGATGTGGCGGTAGAAAAAAAAACGCAAAGTTTTGGTTTGGCGTGGGGTTTTTTGTTCTGTGGTTGGGTTTTTTTTCCCCGCTGTGTGTGGCTGACCTCTTCCCTCCTCCACCAGGACTCTTAACAGGGGCAGCAAAGAGGGGACAAATCTCGGTAAGGGCAAAATACGCAGTTGCTTCAAGCAGCAGGCCCCTGGGGACAGCGAAACAGATGATTTTTGCTGCACCCTGGCTCTGCCCGCACTCAGGAAAGTCGGCTGGTTGCCTCTTCCCCTCTCCAGGGAGAGGCTGGGTGGCTGGGGGTAGGGGCTGTTGGTGGCCCAGAGAGGCAAGGTTGGCTCTCCAGGGCTCACCTCCCCTCTCCCATCCCCTCTCTCCCAGCTCCGGCCCTTTCTCCCCTCTCCCCTTCGCCTTCTTTTGGGGCAGGCGACATTTAATTTGGTCCTCATGGCTGAGAAGCCTTGAGCCTTTGTCTTTGCATCCTGCAGTCGGTCTTCCACCACCACAGCTGCAACTCCCTGCCCTCCTCTTCCTTCAAAGCAAACAGCTTCCACCCCCTGCTCTGGAGAAGGGGAGAAACCTGATCTATTTTAAGGGCAAAACCCTTCGGAGGATTCACCTTCAGGATGTTTGTGAGCCAATGGCTCTGATGCACTTTTTGGCATCTGACTAGTTTGCTAAATTACAATGACCCTTAGCCCAAAGGAGACAAGAGTGTGAAAAACATCTTAAGATTCCTTCAAAATACATCCTCGAGATGTGGCCACTAAGCCAGCAGGAACAGAGTAGGTTTTGGTGGAAGAAGAAGGGGACTGGTGAAAGCAGTGTCCTCCCACGGGCTAAATCCTGAAATAAATCCGAGCTCATTCATGGGCATTTCACATAAATAAGGTGTGAAGGCATACACGCCTTGACACCGTTGAAAATCTGAAATTCACCGTGTTAACATCGTAGTTTGTAGAGGCTACTCAAGTCAGTGGAATTTTTTTCTATTTGTTTATTTGATGACGTCCGTGATAGGCCCTGGTCTGGATTTGTACGTATATCATGATTCCAGAATCTAACCCTGACTAAGGGCTTTGAGATTCCAGAATCTGACCCTACCTAAGGGCTTTCTCAGGGTTTTCTACTCCTTCTGTGCAATCAGAATTCAAGACTAATCTGCAGAAACACTCTACCCTACTTCCACAGACACCAGCTGCAGGATTGGGCCCCAAACTGAGGAAAGCTTGTCTTAAAAAAGAGACCAAAGTCCAGTGTAATGTAAAGTTTTCTTTCCCCCACCAAAAAAAAAAAAAAAAATGTTGGTTGTATGGGGCTTCTTTTTCTTTTTTTTTTTTTTTTTAATTTTCCCTTGATCCTCAGTTATTTATTCTGATAATCATGTTTGGTGCATATTTTATCCACTGGCTGGTTCAGCTGTCACTGGTGGTGATTACTGCCAAAGGCAGGGTCTGTCTAATTAATGTTTTCCTTCTCATCTGCTGAATTTATATAGCCATTAAAGATAAATATGGATGCTTTGTGGCATTTAGACCCCAGATTATACTTTCTCATACATAGCCACTAGGGAGACTTTTGCTGCATCTTATTATGGCATAAAGGCACCAAAACGCTCGAACAGGGTAAGTCAGACTGAGCCGTGCCAAGTTGTTAAGGCTCAGACAGTCTCTCTTTAGACATATTTTGAAGATAAACTTTATTCCCAAATAAAACTTGCAACTGGAAGGTTGGTGTTTTATTTTCCCCCCCCCCCGCCCCGTTTCCCTGAAGTAGAAAGAATTCAAAGGGATGCTGTCATCTAGTTTTTGCCCAGGATCTGATCTCCTTTGAAATGGTTATGAGCTGGTAAGGAGTTTTCTCTGGATTTAACTCTTTTCAAGTAATGGCCTTGTTTTTACTGTTTTTCTGAACGTGCACACACAGTAACAGCAAGATTTTAGGTGCTCACCCCTAGAAATGCTAGGTAACATCCAAGAGTTCTGGAATGCTGAGGATTTAGATGGAAACAGACTTTAGTGTGCAGCTGAGCTGCATAAATCACTGGTGCATTACTGCAGCCAGGCTCTTAGAAGGATTCAGAAGAGGATCAGATACTCAGGTGGAGAATAACAACATCCAAGTGCCATAGCACAGAAACGGCTGAGATACGCAAGACACCTGTACTTCAGGGGAGAAGCCAAGTTCTGAGGGCCTGGAGTAAAAAGGCTTTCTTTCTTTTTTTATTTTTTTTTTCCTTTAAGGAAAGAAACAAAACAAACCAGGCTTTTCTGTAGCTGTGCACCAGATGACTGGTCTACCTTCTACTGAGGAATGTGGTTTGGGGTATTGTCGGGTAGAGCATTAACGGCTCCAATTCACCGTCTCTAAGACCTTGTGGTAGAGTAGGTTGGAGAATTTACAGCCCATAGTCATGTGCGTGCTCGGAACTGAACGTCTGGATCCAACCAGCATCTCCCGCTGCCCAGCCTGGAGAAGTTTGCTGTGTTTCAAGAAGGACTTAAAAAAAATATTCTGTCCTACCTTTCGACATGAGGTCTAGCTCTGGCCACCTGAAATACCCATCTGGGAAGCTCGTGAGTCAGGAATATTCTCTGCACGTGGCTTTGTAGCGGAAGAGGAGAGGTTGTCTATTAAATTCTGGAAAACGCAATGGTAGAGTTGCCGATGCCTAAAAACGTCTTTACCGTCAACGAGTACTGCTCAGATGTTGAAGAGGAGAGTCTGGGTGCAAGTGTAATGCTGGCTGCACCGAGCCAAACGCCTCAGGATCGACACTCCCTTCCCACCCGTGTAACTCCGACTTCAAGATGCCGGTTAATCTTGGTAGTCTCGAGTGCCGAAGCAAGAACGTGATGATGGCAACTACGGCATAAAAAGAGTTTTGATTTTGCTTTTAATTGTGTGGCTTGTCTAGCCACATCCTGAGGGTTTTTTTTTTTTCCCTCTGGATTCTGATGAACCCAGCATTGGGGCTTGCTTCACAGCAGACCACATAATGTACATGTGTATATTGACCTGTGTATTTTATAGCTATCCCACGGGCTGGGGCTGTTAGCTGTGCTCAGTCCGCTGCTCAGCTGGTTAAAAGAAGATGCAAAACACAAAACAACTGCTACGGCTCCTCATTTGTCTTTCCAAGCACCGTGCCCTGGCAGTTTGTGGCAACTGCTTGAGCGCGTCCTTCGGGCGTCGGGCAGCTGCCGGTCATCAGGCAGAAAATGGCACCACGTGTCTGCGCCTTGGCCACTCGCCCGCGTTCAGCAGTTGGGAAAACGCAGCGCAGGGTTTAGCGGAGACCCGCGAGAGGTTGGTTGGTTCTGCTCCTGTGAAAGTTGGGGGTTAACCCACACCCCACACACCCCATTTTTGACATCAGTGGGAGCAGGACCCAGATCAAAAAATATTCTCTTAATAACTAAAGGCCTACTTTCCACATACTTGAATTTACAGCACAGTCGGACTATTTTGAGGGACTAAAGGCACTTTAACTGTCTTTTAATGCAATGTATTTACTATGGATTATCTGCATGGAACACAGTCTTAATATTAAAAAAAAAAATATCTTCCTTTTGGACTGCTTTGTTTTCAAAATAAAACATGCAAAGGATTATTGGTCATGTCATGTGATCTTCTAAGCAGGATGGGAATTATTTTCATCTTGTATTCTTTCAACTGATGTAAGAATACAAGGATTTTTTTTTTAAGACATCCTTTTCTGTCTGAGTAATAACACATCATTATCAGGAGGTGTTCCCAGGACATCTCTAGGATAAAAACTAATGTAATTGAGGTTTGAATCAAGACTGTAATTTTCTTCTCATTTTATTCTGCTCAGCTTATTTAGATTTTTTTTTTTTTTAGCTTGAACAATGAAGTTTGCTTGGCCCATTTGACTTTTTGACAGTAGTCAGGTTAAGTGTTTTGATCTCTGCATTAGCCCCAAATTATTTCAGAAATGTAAATCACTTTAAAGGTCATTATCTGCGACCTCTGGGTAGCACCTCCACGCGCATCGCTATTGTATGTTAAAAGCATGAACAAATTGGCATGATGCAGTAACTGAAAGGAGATGAACTGTAGGAAAAGGCCCATCTTGCAATTAACTACGGATATCAATAGATTGAATCCCGGGGGAGCTTTGATAGCACCGCTTCCATGCGTGTTACACCTCGAGCAGCTGATAAGGCCAGAGCCAGAACAAGGACCCACAGCCCTTTCCACACGCTTACCCTGCCAGCTGCTGCACCACACAAAACACCCACAGCAGCACAGAAATCGGAGCAATGCTGTCCCGCTTCACATCCCCTGCGAGAGGTCAGCCCGAGACACGCCGGGGATGTCTGCAGAGGCGGGACGGAGCTGAGGTACTGGGTTGTGGGCCAGGAGTTGGAAGTCTCTGATGACATCTCCTGGTATCTCAGTTGCTCGTCTGTAATAATGTGAACAACGACACCGGGTTTTGCCTGTGGCTGGATAAATTGTAAACTCCCCAGCCCGGGGGCTCTTTTCTAGCATGTTCCTATACTGTTCTGGGCCTTGATTCTGCTCGAGGAGCTAAATGAACAATTTTCTAAGCGTAACTTTGTCCCTGCTGCTCTTCCGAAGTGAACGTCAGCATTTTTTTTTTATCCCTCCTTTCAGTGGCTATGACCATGATGCAATACTGGAAAAAGAAATAATATATCAGCTTCTTCTCATTTTCCCTTTGACCTTCCCAAGCCCCTCACACCCTGTTCATCCCTTCTTCCCCAAGAGCCTTTTCCAAGTTGGGAGAAACCAGAGAAATTAATTTAAACATGATCAAAGAATTCTACTCTCCCAATGCCTTGTTCTATTTCTCTGAGCAGAAATGCAGCAGATATATAATTGGAATATATTCATTCTATTTTTATATATATATATATATATATATATATATATATATATATATATATATACACAGACACACACAAGCAAATAGTTTATAATATGCAAAAATGTCAGCTCTCCTGAACAAATCATTGTCATACTAGACAACATCCTAGAACAAGGGGGGGGAAAAAGACTTTAACCATTATGCAAATAAATGAGGGTTTATACCCTGGAAATGCAACTGCAACCTCAGGTATGACAGCATGCCGAACCATAATTAATAGCACTGAAAGCAAGTAGGGAGCAGATTGCTACAAAAGGGCCTGTGGGTGGTGGAATAAAATCTCAAATAGATGCACAGCTCCGAATCTGCGTTTTACAAGTGCTGTGGAATTAAGCTTTGGTTACAACTGGGAGCAGGGAATTAGGGCTCCTGAAGTCCTTGCCTGGTTGTATATTAAATGTCTTTTTGCTTTGGGTTGCCTCACCTAGAAAGGAAGGCTGGGAATCATTTCCTTTCTCACAAACAAATAGTAAATTTGCTAATATTTGTAAGATACTGACAGGTGCTCGGGGGAAAGGTGTTTTCCAGGTGGTGTGTGGAATTACTTGCTAAGGTGATTGCAAACATCACACACGTATCATCTCCGAAGCTGTTTTTTGGGGGTTTTTTTAAATCTCTTACACTCACTAAAAGAATTTAGAAATCTTCTCGAGTCAGCTTTAGAGAGGAGGAAGGGGTGCTGCTGTAGGCAACCTGTCTGACTGGAATACATAAAGCTCACACTCACCACAGCTGGGGTGGGGGGGCAGCAGCACTCACCCAACGTGGGGCTCAGACAAACCCCGGATTGAAGGTTTGAAGGAAGCCATGAAGCCAATTATCACGCCGGGTTTGTTATTATCTTTGTGAGACAATTTTATTAGTTTGCATAAAATACATTTCTGGCCCATTGGGTGTGAGAAACAGATTTTTTTGTTGTTGCGTTCAGCAAAGGGAAATGTGTTTTCACACCCAGAAGCACACCCTTCTCTCTCTGATGCACCAGCTATTTGCTTTGCTCGTCCATCTCTCTGCCCTCCCATCTCCAGGGCCCCACGACGGGGCAAACCGCTGCCGTAAACACCTGCAGGATCTGTGGGTGACCCTGCCGGGTGCTTGCCAGGACAAAATTCAACTGGCGCCCGCAGCGAGGGCCATCGGTATTTCAGGGAGGTAGTTCCCCAGAAAACTTAAGAGTGCGACTCTTTTCATCCCGTAATCAGACTGAATTACAAAATTACTGATCCGAAGGCCATGCTAAAATTGCAGCGGTGATGCAGCCCCCCCCCCGTTGGCAGTCCCCTGCAGATGTACTCTCCCCCCTGCGCGCCGGCACGCTCCTGCCAGCCGGTTTTCCAACGGCTCAAGCGATGTTCCTGCCACCACAAATTACTATCTTAAGCTCTGCACCGCTCTCTCAAATGGCAGATAGGGAAAGAT